ACTCCTGCTCCTTCTTCTGTGGCTGTTCTTGTCCCCGTTATTGCGCCTGCTTCATCTTTTCCTACTCCTATATCTTCTCCTGCATTTGACCGTCCTTCGCCAGGGTTGTCTTCTACTTCAGCCTGGTACCGCTGTAATCTCAGGTGGATCTTTACGTAGCAAAACACGGAAGTAACCAGAGATACCACAACGGCCACAAAAGCAACAATCTCCGAAACCGTTTGACTCCAGACACGAACCAATCCGCATAAAACAGCAATTATCCAGCATAAAAGTATAACAGCTTGAGTTCGCTTTAGTGTCACAACTTGTCTGTATCTCAGCCTCAATAACAGAACAAGAAGTCTGTCAACACTGATGGCTGTTGATATCAGTACAGTCACTCCAAACAAAACATAGTTGGATATACAAACAACCTCTTCGACGTAATACAAAATATCTATGTCGGTGTTACCAAGATCAATGTAAAGAAATAAAACAACAAGGTTGTGAAAAAAGACCCAAAATTAATTCAAACAAGACCTTTGCTAAAATGTTAATAGAAGCAGAGCATTACCAAGAGATGCAGTGAAGGAGTGGACAATGTTGAAAGCGAGAAAAATACTACTAGTCCAATTTAATTGTGAAATAACCAGCTGAAAATTGGCGCTCAAACAACTTACCTCTGTCTTTCTTCTTTTGAAGCAAAAAATGAACGTTTATAAGCCACATATAAAATATTGGAAAATTTTAACAGTTTCTATGGGATAAAAAACAAAATGTTATTTTCCGAACAAATGTCACAGCTTAAACTTGTTTTTTCTTGAATATAGAAAACCCCCGTCTGCAGTTGAAAGTCTTACATGGCTAGAGAGACTTAAACATCACCACCTGCTCATTTCGGAAACTAGATTCGTTCTTTGGATGTTCAGTGTGGTGTTCAAGAGGAGAGTTCTCAACGCCTTTAGCAATGAAAGAGTGGTAACTGCTATAAAATAACATGGAGAACCTCACAGAAAATACAAACCAAACAAGAATTAATCAATTTCGTTGCTTCACGGGCGTATATGATCGAAGTCTTATTATGTTTGTTTCGTCATTGATCTTATAATTTCCATTGCAGCCATTGTGGGAAATGGTCTCATTCTTTTCCCTCTCTGCAAGATTTCTTCCCTTCATCAACCATCAAAATGTTTGTTCAGTAATCTTGCATGCACTGATATCACTGTTGGACTCAGTTTCCAGCCGTTTCATCTCCCTTACATAATTTCCCAAGAACACTCTGCAATTTGTTACCATGGCTCGCTCATCAACCGAACCTTGGGGGTTATTTTCTGTGGCGTCTCTGTCCTCACACTGACTGCAATAAGTACAGACAGACTTTTAGCTGTTTCACCAAGGTTAAGATATCGACAAGTGGTAACTCTGTGGCGAGCAAGAGTAATTTTAGTCCTTCGCTAGCTTGTTTGCATTACAAGAGGAATAACAAACCATTCCATCCTTCCTATTTATTTGATAATCAGTAACATGGGTGTAATTTTTTCGATGATGACTTCTACTTTCTGCTACATAGCATTTTACATAAAAAAAACTCCGCCGTCAAGAAGCTCAACTCCAAGCTTAAACTATCATTCCCAAATTGTGTGATACAAGTACATTTTTCAAAGATAAAAACATAGCAGAATGACGTGCTCATTGTTGAGTTGAATTAACAACTGAAAGATGGAAACTTAAAAGCCGCGCTTCAAAAAATTGCAATATCACTGTCATCATCCGAATCATCATCGCCAGATATCGTGATTTCAATTTCGTCGTCATCATCATCATCGTCATCGTCATCATCATCATTTTCATCATCATCGTCATCGACATCGTCATCTTCCTCGCCACCTTCGTCGGATTCCTAAGAGAAAAAAGGCATGGAGTCGTTATTTTATTGACCTACATCAAACACGTGTTGCACTAAGTGACGTGTTTTTGAAGTATGTTCCAAAAGTAATTTAAAGTTCATCTCTGCTTTAGTGCCAGGGGGCGCTATAGTCCACAACCTAACAAAGTGCAGGATTTTGTATGCAAATAAGGCACGAACCAATCACATAACCGAATCCGCATCCAAGATGGCGGTTTCACTTCTCTTTGATTGGTCCGTTCCTACGAATATTGATGTGAAAGTCCTTAAGATTCTCATACCTGCTCGTCCTCGTCATCAGCCCTACGCAGCCGCCCGACTTCGTACACCCGGCAAACGCTTTCGTCGGTGCTGGCCTGATTCTAAAAAAGAACGTTACCGAATTTATGATATGAAATAATTCACGTGAACTGTTATGACATGATGACAAGATCTTTACGATGATAGTTTGCAACTTATGCAATCATGAAATGACAAGTAAAGCCAGTCAGATGGTTCGCATTGCCAAAGTTTCTCCCAGTTGTCGTGGCATGAGGTAGCTGGGATTACTGCTAGCTCCTGAGCTTGCAGTGCAGGCGTTATATTAGGGCGAGTTAACGTTAAGAAGTTCGCGATCGATTATTTCACCGGCCATGTTTGACTTAGAGTTTGAGTGGAAAGTGGAAGGAGGGGGCAGTGAAAGGCGAAAAGACGCTTGCTCGAAGAGGCTGTTAAAAAGCGAAACACCCCATGACTAATTGTGCCTCACCGCATTTTCGGAATTGAGCAAGTAACCGTAACCACAAGAAAAAGAAAAAAGAAGAAAAAAAAAAGCGTAGAGCGGATGAGTGAAACTGTGAGGCAGTTTTTTTTCAGCGCAGAGACAAATGGCTTCGACGTAACCTTTTCCGAGGACACAGATATGAGCTGATATTCGCTGCATCCTATGTTCTTTGAGTGTAGCTTCCGTTAATCCCTTTGACGATGTTTCTTCCATTTGATCGTAAACGGTACTTTGAAGCAGACACACTTCTGCACTCGAAGGTTTGTTTTATAATTAGTTTTAAAGCTAACCAGCATCTGAAATAGAAAGCTTTTCCTAAAAAAACCAGTGGGTAACACTGCCAGCAGATCTTTTCCAGTGACCAGTGTGGAAATTAAGACTTTTTGCTACCCTCGTAATGCGCGAGACACTCCATGTTCTGATGAACACTTGAGAGATTCCCTCAATCTGTCTACAGCCGCTTCCTGCTCTAAAAAATTCGGTTTTTCTAGGCAGCTTCCTCGTGAATGAAATCGGAATTGTCAACTACGCCTTCGAAAGAGTTCACCCTCTTTTGTTTTTCCCGCAAGATAATCATGAAGCAGTTTGGCTAGTGATTGACAAGTAGAGCTAAACCGCACCAATCGGCTCAGGTCTTACGATCAAGATAAATTGAATTTAATGTTTCATAGAAATCACAAGAATCCTCTTACCTCTGAAGAAGTGTCGGAGAAGAGGGAGAAAAAAAGAGAGAGGAAGTTAAGCAGGAGCGGGAGAGGAAGAGGATGGGAATGAAAGAAGAAGGATGGAAGGGAGGAAAACAAAACAAGGCAGAGGTTTCCGATTTTTAAGCTTACCTCAATAACGGCTACAAAGCTGTCAGTTATATCGGTACACAAATCAAATATTGTCTTCTTAACGTCGATTGTAGCTGTTTGAAAGCAATTGAAATTTCCAACATCATTTTCTCACTCATTTCGTAAACGTCAAGATATTTCAAATTAACTGATAACGAGCGCCAAAAAAAATTTCTATTAAAATTTGTAGCAAGCCCTCCTGCTCACCTATTGGTTGATAATCTGTTGCGTCAAAGGTCCTGAACGAGGTCTCGTACGGTCCAAGGAGCCTGGAAGCTAGCGGTATTTCCAAAGGATCCGAAAGATGTTTTACTATAAAATACGGAAGAACAAATACCGCTCCCTTCAGTCCAGAATTCATTTTTTTTTTTCATTTTTTGAGATATCAGAGGCTCTGAGGGACTTTTCCCTGAGGGCCCAGTTATGTAAAGGGCGGATAACGCTATCCGACGGATAGAGTTTCTAGTGGATAGCGCTATCCAACCTTCGAAAGACTGGAGCCGGAAGTTTTAGGGTTATGAGTGGAATAAAAGAGCTAGAGCTCTTTCACTTTTCCAAACACCGCAAAAGTTGCTAAATAATTGATGAAAAGTTGAAAAATTTCCTTACGCAATTTTGGATGTCTATAAACTGCTAAAAACCTATGGAACCATAATCCCGGGTGAGTATTCTGTGCTCTCAATTTGAATTTGAATATCGAGATGACATATAGATCGCAACTAAAAGCTCACGACTTGGACGCACTAAAACCTCAATGTCGGGTCTGGTTTCCTTCGTGAAAAATTAATAAAGTATCAACAAATTTGAGAAGTGTGTAAACAAGTAAACATGAAATTACCCCCATACATGACGTCACCACTGTTATTGAAGATCACGTGACATTGATCTAGTGAAGGACACGTGTCCAGTAAATGGAAAGAGCGAAGATCCCACTGTTTTTAGCGTCAAGGATTATTGGCAAAGCAAAAGGCACACTGTTTATTTGAAATGAGTTGCTTTGGACATTCTAAGGGGTTAGTGTCACAAGAAACAGCAGTGCTTCGTCAGTTGTGAGGGCGGGGAAATAACCAGATAGTTTGGTTTTATCGACTAGGTTGATGATGTAAATTGGCCAGCAAATCACCAAGGATATTCAGACATAAGTTTATGCTCAGTGGATCAGTCAGGTGACTGTGTATTAGTTCCCGAAAACGCTCAAGATGAGGAAACAATAAACTTTTCTTATGAAATAATAGTCCTTGATATCTATCTCTCTCCTAATTCACTGTCAAAGTAAGAAGAAGGAGGTAGAGTGATTTTTCGAGATCCGTGAAAGGCCGACGTTGTGTTCCGTTATTTTCGCGAATCTGGACTCACTGCTTTACAGTCTAGCATTGGCTCGTTCTTTAAAAACAAAAAAAAGGATACAATCTCTGAATTGATGATAATCTCCAGCCCGGAGGGATGAAAAACGCCGCTGACAAAGTTGTTAAACTTGTCAAACTTGTGTATAACCCGTTTGCCTTTGACATCCCATAATACACCGTCGTTCAGTACCAGGTCGTCCGTGGGATTGAAGGAGGCGAGGTTCTTTGAGTAGTTGTTAGTGTTGTTGGAATCGTGCAGAGTTAGTACCCGCTGACCTGTCGCAGTGTCGTAAATCTGATGGTTGAATATAATCTAGTGAATAATATCATCACACTCTAACTGCATTCTAATGCTCGCAGTTATCGAGAAATAAAAAGGGTGTTTTGGCAGAGAAGTACCACAAGCAATAAACGACAAAAAAAAAAAACCTGAATCAAATACAAGAAAACATTGGTCAACCTTTACTAAGGTAATCACAAGGCTTTGCCTCCAATTTATCAACGATCTACCGATAAAAATCTCGAGTTCGGCGCCTTAAAGTTTGACTAATGTTTCAAAAGGCGTATTTCAACTGAGTGACTTGAAAGAAAAACCAAAGTTGTTTCTGAAGCATATCAAAATAGCAAATTAAAAAATTATCAAACACAGCCAAGAGGCCTCAGAACAAGTAAACTGAGGCGCAGAAAAATGATCTTGGCCATGAAGTCTGAGCTAAAAATACTTCTTAAAAGTCCATGTATTCGAGACAAAAAATGATCGTGTACAAACTTGGGCGAAATTGGTGATTCTATCTTGCTATCCCGTGTTCACGCAGTAGCAATTTCGCTGATCTATTTTTCCTTTTGTAAATGTTCTAGATGAACAGCGACAATTTGTCAAACTAAGGCTGATCGTGATGTATTTAGAAGTGAAAATGCATCAAATGTCTTGAACTCACATGCGCAGTAGCGTCGTGTGTGCCAATAATTCTGTCTTCTGATAAATTACTAAACTTTACCCAGGTGTCTTCGCTAAATGGATGTCTGAGCCAAAGAGAAACAAATAAAATTAGAAAGTAAATAACATTTTTTATCAAATAGAGAGATAAATGTAACGACAAAATATTATAGTTCGCCTACTGTCACCGTGTTATTAACACCAATCCGATTATAGGATACAAGCCATGACATACACCAAAATTATTTCCCATTTTGCTTGTTTTGATCTTGGGCGTCAATTGCCGCAGGTGAATTAAGTTGGAATCATTGCTCGTCTCCTGTAATCTATGAAATTAATTTGTCTAAGTGTCTTCTGTAAAAGTCGTAGCTCTGAAAGAATAATGTAAAACTTCTTCTTGTATTTCAGCGAAAGTCAAGTCAATAAAAATTAATGGTAAAACATAGTGAAGTATGTGTTTGTTTTATGTTTCTGCGACAAACATTGTAGTTTGTTAAAGGTGAGATACAAATAAACCAAGCAGAGACACAAACAAGGACGTTCCTATCCAATGCACTAGTGGTACGAATCAAACAGGTTTTCAAGTTCAAAGACTTACTTCATTTCGAAAACGTCTCCAAATGACCAAAGAGCACAGGGAGGCAAAGCAGACGAAGATGACGTCAATAAAAGTTCGCGGTCCTAAAAATTGAAGAATGAAGTACAGAAAGACAATTTCAGTGATAAATGAATTCGTGAACACAACCTGAAAGGTTCACATAAGCCTTAGAAAGGTTCATAACGTTGCGAAACGCGCTGCAAAACTGATGAATAAAAAGGGTTGATTGGTTTCAGCGAAATATATGGAAACTAAACAGTTAACAAGAAGACTGAATTTGACCGAATGTTAAGTAATTTAAAAGCAGTAGCGGAGCTGCCTTGTTTGTGTGGATGTGGACCGAAATCCAACATCGAACCTAACTTGTTACCATTTGACTGTTGTTGGGTTGGGGGAGGGAGGGGTGGGTGCGCCAAAAAAAAAAAAAAAAATGTTGAAAAACATTAATGAAACTTTCGACTCTGTTCGAAGTAGAAAGAAAGGTATTTTTAACTATATGGGGAGGGAAGCTTCCATGTTGTACTCTTACTTTTGAACATTGGCACATGGAAATTGCTCTGTCTGCGCTACAGAGATAAGTCGCCTCTTCCTGCAAAAGATCATTTTTTAAAAATAAATACGTAAAATAAAAATGAACATGAAAATCATGCACTGAACGGTTTAAATCCAAAAAAGAACCAAAAAAAAAAATTGGTGTGATACAGCTGAAAACTTAACTTGTCACAACAACGACTAATTCATACACATATAGCTATTTCAAGAAAAATTTGGCGTTTGACTTGAAATCAAAAAGGCGTAAATTGAGTTCTGCACCTGTCCAGTTATTAAGTTGTATTCCTTCAACTCGCCTATTTGTGTTCTAAGTAAAACAAACTTGCCATCGGGCTGAGGAGGAAAAGTAAAAACTTAAGGACTACGTTTACATGACCTCATAAAAGCCGTTACTTTTTTCAAACAATAGTAAGGATAATTATTATGGGTTGAAAAAAAAAGGAAAAATAAAATCATAATTTCCATTTTATTAAGAATCAGCCAAATGCAAACGACACAAACAAGAGGTTCAAACCGTTTGACTTCTAAGAGTGACCAGCGTCTAATTTCTCTTTACAATATCACTCCTTGAAGCAAACATTAGGATCACGAGAATATAAAAAATGATCACCAAATAAGAAGCTCTTGATTTTAAACAAATTCTCTTTGTCAGCACCTTAGGAATTACATAGAGAACAGTATGGAGAATATGCATACTGATGTTAGCATGTAAAGGGTCAAGCCCTGAAGAGAAATTTTTAAGGAGTAAATTTGATGTCTGAGGAACTGTGTTACGGTTTGTTCAACGTAAAAACATTTGAAAAAATCGGTTTTCAGTTTCAACTGGTTTTAATCTTCTTCACTCTTGAGAACCCGTCTTTATCACTGGGGGGAGGGGTAGGTGAATTTTTGGGGATCCCACGGTTTTTTTTTTTTTTGGGGGGGGGGGGAGCGGAGGGGGATCAGTCGTCTCTAACAGAGCTTAGAAGGACAACTATAGAATTGACTGCCAGTGAGGTGGGATCATTACAATACTACAGAACCTTAAGGGGGGATCAGGTTAATTTTATGGTGAAACAAACAGAATACTCCCGCCCTTCCGCCCCACTCCCCAGGAGGAAAAATGACAGGCTCCTTCTTAAGTTTACTTCAACTGTTCCGTGTTTTGCAAACTTAGCCAATCATGATCTTTTCTATCCTTAGGAGTGTTTAGTCCTCGAAATCACTTGCTCCACTTAGCAGTTATAGATCTTAAAAATCACAGTGAATGTGGTAACAAAGAGACTTACTGCAAAACATGCACATGAAAGAAGCTGTTTTATTCAGTATCGCGAATGGTCCTGAGCTGTTTAAATCTAATGGAGAACAACACAGTTAGATACCAACGAGAACTAAACTGGACACAATCAATGACTCATAGTCAAACTTCGTCTGCAAAATGCGTCAAAATTCTGTGGAGGAACATTATCTTGAACATTAACTTGCGCAAACTTGGCATATTCGACTCGTTTCCTTGCGTCCAAACCTATCTGCTAATACAAATGAAAACAAAAGACTTCAAAAGGAGATCTACTACTGTCACGTCCTTGCACGTGAAAAACTCCACTTCTTTTAGTCGACGCGAAGACAATAAGCCGGCACTTTTGCAAAACATGAAAAATCCACTCTGTTGAGAGATTATGAAAACCTCCGTCACCTGTGTTCAGAAATACCGTTTACGTGTGGACAGGGGTCTGAGAATCAGGTTACAATGGTTCTGTTAAGAGAACATTAAGAATTTCTAATAAAGCGATACGAAGTACAAATAAGGCATCTCCTACCTTCCGTACACGAACCTTCTGTTTAGTCTGGCGCCGTTAAATCCGCCATGACGCGGAATCACCTTCAGGTGGGAGAACATTTTTCAAAATTGAGTACAAATAAATGTTGAGGGAGATCACTCTGGAATAAGAGCTGACACGAGCATCAGAACGACCTATTAAGATGATGAGATAAGTGTTTCCTTTGTCCGCCGAGGTGGCAAATTAGTTTTGTTTGAAGCTAAGAACAATAGCAATATACATACTTCTCTTCGCTTTAACTTCGTCGTCATGTTCGATGGTGCGTAATATCTGTACTTTGGTTCAGGGCATTTGTGGGGCCTGACGATGGACAAATCGGAATAAGTTGATTGTTCACAGCTTTGAGTTTTCTCCCACATCTGCAATTGTGGCGTTTGATTCGATAAACTAAACTTTTAAGTACAGCAGGTAATTTAGTGTTAACAACTGGGTTGAAAACGTAAATTAGCCACTGTAAAGGGTAAAAAAGCTGACGTTTCGAGCGTTAGCCCTTCGTCAGAGCGATAAGAGGAATTGTGGGTTGTGCGTGGGTTTTATATGTAGAAAGTGGAGCTACACCATTGGTGGGAATATGGTGACGAGAGAACAGGAATAAATTAGTTGAATGAAAAGCGCTCGCTGATTCCGTGGGGCCCGGGATTAAGGATGCCGATTTGGAATATAAATTTTTGTTCTAGTGTTTTACGGCTTTCCGAACTGCCTAGATCTAAAGAAAGGCCGCAAACTGCCATATGCTGTTTATAATGATTAGGAAGATTAAAGTGTCTAGCGACTGGTTTGGATGCGTCCTTGTCATTTCTTTCCATTTTTTTTTAAGTATAGACTTATAAACACTCTGGAATTTTTTAATTGAAAGAGAAGAGATGCATTATGTGCAGTTTTTCAAAAATACTTCTGCAAGATGCCACACTTATAACTCTTGTTATAAATGTTACAAACAGTTTTAAATAAACGGACAAAAACTCGAAGAAACAGTAAAAAAAAAAGGAACAGACAAACAAACAACAGGAAGGGAGTAAAAAAAGCCAAACAATACAAGAGAAAGTCTATTTGTCTAGTGTCCTAGAATACCTTGTAGGCAAGATATATTTCTTACTCACCTACCGGTCTACCAGGAGGAGCTTAGGGTTTCACAAACCTTTTATACAAGTAGCTACCGTTAAGGAGATAGGCGGTGGTGATTACTTACTATATAAGCAATTTAAAACTAGAGGACACCACTGCAACCAAGATTTATTGTACATAATAGATAATCAGGCCCCAATCGCGCAATTTTGAAATTAAAGCTTTTTTTGTTTTGTTCGGGAACTGCCAAATAGTATCATGAGTACTTACGGAGGACTGCCCTTGGAAAAATAACGGATGAAATAAAATTGAAAAATAAGAAAAATCTTCGAAAAGAATGGGTAAGTATACAGTTAATAGGCATTAAAAAAACTAAAGTGATACATTTTGAATGATGCAATGAAAGTTACTTGAAAAGTACTAAAAGCAAATTTTTCTTTATCTTATAGAAATATGAGAGAAGAAAAGCTCATGTCAAGGATGAGACTGAGTCCCGTGCCTTCGCAAAGTTCAGTAAAGAGCACATGTATAGTGACGATGATGACACAGATACTGATGAAGGCGAAGGAGGATGGGTGTCTAGGCCCCCAAAATACAGGAGCAAAACTCTTGAAGCTTTCCTAAACAAGTAAGAAGTATACTAAAGGCTTAGTCCTTTACTGATATTTCTAATAGCAAGAAAGATGGAAATGTTTTTATCCTCACAAATTGCCAATGTTGCTGTCCAGTATTGCCAGACTGTTCCTTGTTATTGGCACTTATGGATTGTAAATGTCAGGTAGGCTTTAGAGTCAGTTTATTTGTTAGTCACCTATTAGCACTTTTTTGCCCGGTTTTTTAAGGATTGGATTTACTTCACGGTTTCAATCAAGTCAACGGCATCTTCTAATTATAATATTGTTATTGTCTTTGACTTGACAAGCGAAGAAAAAGACAGAAAACGCAACAAACAAAAGGTGGAAACGAACAAAGGCTCGTAAAGGGGAGCTTGTAGAAAGAGAACCACCCACAGGTTCTCCTACATGGGCGCTGTCCGATGAATGGAGGGAAATCATGCAAAGGAGAGAGCAAGAACAAACGGAAATGTAAGAATACTGCCTAGCCTTTACACTCCTTATTGGATGCTATCGCTTTTACTTTTAGTTTACCAACTATGAAAGTGAAGCACAGAACAATGTACAAACTATGTAAACCGGTGTAAAATTCTGTCTCTATATATTACACGCTATGAAAAATTTCGTAATATGCTTGTTTCCTTGATGCAATGTTGTTTCATTGTTTACCTAACATTTTTTTTGGTTCAACAGAGAACTTGAGGATGAAGAGACCGCTGACGAAACCAGAGCGGAAGAAAGAGAAGGAGAAGAAAGTAATAATAACTGCTCCTCAGGAAGCGATTGTGATTTTGACAACGAATAGTTTGTTTTGTGTGGGTGTGTGTGTTTAAGGAATAGTGTGATTGTACATAAATCACATTCGTGAATTAGATTTTCAACTTTCATTCTTGGCATTATTATTAACATTATTATTATGAGAAACTCAAATGTTAGATTAAGTATTTTTTTTAATTTATATGTACTGCGAAAAAAACGACACGTGACTGAGGAATACTGAAATAAATTAACAGCTATTTGTAATTGAAGCATGTGTTGATTCACGATCACGATCCACCTAGATCACATCTAAGCAATGCAAAACTCTTTAACGCTGAACGTACCCCGTAAGAATACTCGAGGATGGTGAATTTTCCCATTAAGATTGTTCAAAAAAGGCTCGTTAAAGCCCCCACAATACGCACACAACTGTCTTCATACAGTATTCATGTGTACACTGGTATTTGGCCTGAAATCGCATCATGAATCTAATAAAAATCCGTATACCTACCTTGAAACAACAGTAGTATCTATATCTTATACTTCCTACAGTATACGTGAAGTATACAGACCTCTGTAATGTCATATAAGGGTAATCCTCTAACGAGTGTAAGAATCTGTACACGTACCTTCTACGGAACATATCAGTACCCTTCCTGCTTCATGCAGTATATATCATATATACGGACTTGTGTAATAATGAATAAGAAATCCTGCAACGACTGTAAGAATCCCGTATACGTGCCTTCCACACAATATCAGAATACCTCATAACTCCTTCAATATACAACATGTATACTGAAACGAGTACTGACGTATAAGAAATTCTGCTACAAGTGTATAAGATCCTGCTATTTTCTTGGCATAGCCTGACGTACATTGATCCTTAAACAGTACCTTATACATCATGACACCACCTTATAGATTCCGTACACGACTTTTTGTACTGACTGTGTAAGACCTACATTAGGGACCGTATTCGGATTATTTCACGCAGTGTTAGGGGTCGTACAAAATCCACATATAAAATCTTAACGAGGTAATTTGGTATCATTAGCCAAGTTGATCACCACTTTAGTCAACGTTAGCCCTTCGTCATCGCTCTGACAAAGGGCTAACGCTCGAAACGTCAATTTCAGAACCATTTACGTTATCAAATCAGTTTATAATAGCAAATTACCTTGTTAATCTCTCCAACCAACGAAGCACCACAGTTCTTTAGAAACTTTCCACCTTTAAAATCTTAACAGAAGGCATTATGAGGCCATATCTAAGCGAGAGTGGAATGCGGATAAGAGACTCTCATTGAAACTTAAGGCAAT